CTTACTTGCACCAGCCATGGTCCCAGATATGGGGAACAGAAAGCATGGCAGTATTCCCGAAGAAACATTCTGGAACATTCTGGTGGCAGCTGACCACAGCGGTTCAGATCGAAGCCTAGGACTGGTCCCTGCAGATAGCCCTCGGCCTTTTCACTCTTACAGCAGGAAAGGCTGCGCCATTCCGAGCAGTCGATTAGCTTTGGTTCCGGTGAGGGTGATGGCTTATGGCCCGGCCGATATTGGCACATATTCAAGTACTCTGCCACGGTGACAATCCCAGCGAATCGGTTTTCACCGGTTCCCAGCTTGAAAGCAAATTGTAGGTGTGCGAAGGAGAGCAGGTAGAGCGTAAGAACTAAGACTGTGTGCATTGTTGGTGGACGGAAGCTAGGGCCAGCAGGGAAACAAAGTGGTAAGTTAATACGTTTGTCCACAGACATGACAGCGGTCTAGAGATCGAGGAAATAATAAACTATTGGGATCACCATGCACTTTTTTACTTTACCTGCTGCCTACTTATTTCCTTGTAGCATACGTGGTTTATCAGTAAACAGGAAAAAAAGTCATCCGGTTTGAAATGATGTTCTTAAGTTTTTTCCAAAAATTAAGGCAGAACCGTAGGCTTGGTTATGGCCTGCTAATTGTAGTGATCTGAGTTCCCCTACTACTTATTCATCTACAGATTTGCCACAAAATTCCCTTAATCAAGTATTTGAATGTCAAGAACGCAATCAAAATCCGAAAACAGTTGGAATAAGTCCAAGATAGTTACATCAGTCTGTTCTTCTTTTATTTATGGGCCGCTATGTTGATCAAAACGTTTTCTGCATAAGTGAGGAAAAGCCTTTGCAATTCATTTCGCTTAACGAATGAATACTAATGTTATCAGAAAAACGAAAGTGTTGCCTACAAAAATCACTCTGTGAGACCTGTCTGGAAAAACCAAAAGCGCCTGCAGTTAGCTCAGGAATACAAAATTTAAAAAAAATCCTGTCTGTCTTAAAGTTGTTTGAAAACCATAAAGTACAAAACGGCACTTTTTGCAAAAGAAAAAAACAGCGTATAGAAACTTGAACTTGATTGCTCAAAAAGAAGTCAAGCACCTCGCCCTATGCAAATATATTTTCATTGGGCGATGTGCTCGATTTCAAAATCTTCTTCCAACAATGAAAAATTAATCGTCATTTCCATTCACAAAACAAACAATTTGGGGCTCAAACATTAAATAAAGGGGTGTCCCGCTGTGAAAATATTTGACCGGCGACATGCCCTGTAAACACCAGCCCCACCTGGTGCCACCTAGGTAGCCGGGGACAGGTGGGGCAATCCGCGGCTAAGAGTTAACTAAATTTATTGTAAAAGTTTCTCGAATCTATTTATTTGTCAAAGCAAGCATCAATAATCAATAATTTACATCTTCTTCTTTGATACAACAATGAAATCAGGGGTTGAATCGCGAAAATGGGGGCTGCACGCCGCGAAAATATTTTCTGAAGTGGGGCAAAACGGGTTGCTTTGGCCCCGTCTTATTCAGTCCACGTGCCACTGAATTAAACGGGGCCA